GCCGTCTCCAACCATTATTAGTCTCAAAGTGGGTTCCTCGTCATCGAATATAATATGGTATGTTTCACCATCAATAAAACTTTTCGGAGTTCTCCGTCGTTTACCTACCTATTACTATTAATATTATTAATCATTTAACGTACCAGTAATGGCAGTATATTTTAATTTAACTTTTAAGTTCAACTAGAGTCTAGAGAACTTGAGAAACATTAACTAGAAATTTTTTTGAACTAGATAACCAAAATCACTAACAATAATAATTTATTTTCTAAGGCACAACGTGCGCTTAATTTTAACAATGATTTAAAATTCGGAATTTACTACTTTAGTTTAAGATGTAACTTCGGACACATTTTTATTTACCTAAAACTGTAAATAAGTATGTAAAATATATTAATAAAGTTTTAAAAAATCAAAAATGTGTTTCAGTTTGAATTCGCAATTTTGAACAATCGGATTAAGAACGATTACTTACCACCATCACGTAGACCACCAACAAAAGACAGAGAATCGAGAGAACTTGTACATAGAATTCTGGGAAAACGTTTCGTAAACCAGTTTCTTCTGCTGGAATTTGAACAAATAGCGTGTCTCGATTCGACGATGGCTCTGATTGGTAGAAACAAAGTTGAAATTTCCTGTGGGTTTCAATGGAGAATTTAAAAAGTTGTATATTTAGCATAAAGAACATAGGAAACAAATTATAATACAATTTTATTTATTTTGCAGTTAGGTAAAATTTTATTATATTTCACAAAATTAAGTTATCAGTTTGAAGTGTCTGATGGTAAATGTGCTGTAAGTAAATAGATTTTTGAGAAAGGTCATAATGGTGGAGATGCGGTTCTGATTTTTAAAAAAAATACTTAGCAGATGAATTAAAATTTGTTGTTACAGCTTGTCGAGAACGAATTTGATATCAATTGAAAACTATACACATAAATTGTATTTATCTCTCTCTGCTTTAATGAATAGTACTTAAGTAGACTGACAATAGAGTTAATAAATGAAAAACAAGGTACTTATTAGGATATTCTGAGTCATCGAGATAAAATAAAGAGTCATTCACAGAGGATAAACACTACACTACCAAAAGTCAAGGGACACGGTTAGTTATGAATAAAACATGTCTTTACTCCAAGAAATGATTAGCGTGTTGGCCTACCTTTGACCTTAATGACTGCTTCAATGCGTCGTGGAAGAGTGTTTCTACTATTTTCTGATAGAAAACTGGTGGTATTGTGCTCCACTCCTCCTTTAAAGCATTAACAGGCACCATTACTGAAGAGGGCTATGTTGGCCTTGCCCTAATTTTCTGCATTCCAGTTCATCCCAAAGATGTTCTATCTGGTTGAGGTCGGGGCTCTGGACTGGCCACTGCATTGTTCAGATGTTATTCTCTTCAAACCATGCGTTCACAATCCTTGCTTTGTTACATGGAGCGTTATAATGTTGGAGATGTAAGGGCCGGTACCATAAAATTGTCACAATGTAGGACACACAGAATTGTTCAGAACGTCAATGTAGGAATTATCATTCATGGATCCATGCGCTGCAATCAGTGGACTTAGTCCATACACGAGAAGTACCCCCAGATCATGATACCGCCACCTCCAAACTTAACTGTTGCGAGAGCACACTTAGGCAATAAGCTTTCTCCAGGCATTCTCCATATCCAAACATGTCCATCAGACTGGAAGATCGTGTAGCGTGACTCGTCGCTCCACGGGACCGATTTCCATTGATGCACGGTCCAGGTTCGGTGTGCATTTGTTTCTGTTATCATCGGCTTAGTGGGCAGCAGTTTTTCCGTGAAAATGTATGGCATGCAGCTCTCGACGTGTCGTGGAAACACTTATAGGTTTGTCTGTGGTTGCTCGCATCTCCAAACACAGATTCTCTAGAATTTGATGGCAAGATTAGATAACCAGCGTTCTCAAGATGCGTCGGCTCCTGTAAGTCAGTATTTTACGCCTACCTGGTCGTCTCTTGGTCTCATTGTCACCTGTGAACTTCCATTGCTTCAGCACGTTGCCAGTTGTCGACCTGGGAATGTTTAATTGTCGCACAGTTGCACGTATAGACATTTTCCCCATTTGATATCCAACTATCCCTCCCCTCTGAAACTCTGTTAGCTCTTTTCGAGTACTTATCGTTTGGCGTAAAAGCTCGGAATGACTTTCGAGCGAATCGCTGATCACCATTCTAGGCCAAACTATTTGCAAATTTCGTCATTACATCCATTTTCCTGCAACCAGAGGTGTATCTCATGACTTTTGGTAGGATAGTGTATTATCCAAATGTGTTACAATTGTGATTGAAATATAGTAGGACATGTAACAATTAATAAGAAAAAGTGAGTGGAAAATTTCATTTCCTTCAAGAAAAAACAAGGTATTTCTGAACTAAGTATTGTTCTTTGTTCATCGACATAAGTTATTACAAGATATTATGGTAGGTATTCAAACAAGTCGTGATATATAATAATGACCTCTAATTATGGACAGATAATAAAGAATATTAAATAATGTATTTATATTATAGATTTAAGAGCCCAATTTCACATGATTTTTTTATAAAAAAACGAACATAAAAAGATAATTACGTACATTAATATTGAAAAGTAGACGTTCACTAATCTAAGCCATTATTTCACAAAGGTATCTGTGTGTGTCTGCTGAAAACTGACGAAATACCTGACTGATTGTCACCATACCTGACGTATTATACACGTTGGACGGGTACGTCAGCCGGTGTTTTTATGTTTTGTTACATACAATGGTACTGTGATGTACATTGTATACTGAGAACGTTGTTTCTAGTTTAGAATATTCTGTAAAGAATACTGTAAGAGTAATAAGATGTGTGATAATATGAAAGTTTAACTATATGAACAAAAATAAACTAATTTAAGATTTGTAATCTGAAAAGGACCTATTCAAGAATATACTTGTATAACAATCAAGATCTATATTATTTATGGGTTTTGGAGTCCTTTTTAATCAATCATACAATAACATAAATTAATTAAGTTAGGTGTGTAAGTAATATTATAAAATTGACACTAACTTATTAGTCGATATTATACAGCGGACCAGCAGTTTAATCAAGACACACAGTAGTGTGTTATGCGGCCAAAACAACCTGCTACAGGACACATTATGTGTTGTCAACAGGAGTGATAGTTTAGCGATTTTCCACCCGCTGTATCTTGGACTGTAGTAATTCAAACTAACACATATTTTCAGTGGATGTGCTCTACTGGACTCTTACTTCCCATACCAAATTTCAAGGCAATCCATTAAAAATACCCGAGATGTAACATCTCCAACTTTGATTGAGTTTCTTCTTTATTTTTTTTCTTTTCGCACCAAAAGTACCGAAAATTTAATTGATATAAAACATACCTAACTTTTATGGATTTTTTTTCACATTTGGTACACTGATAGATCTTTTCAACCTACAATTTGGAGTCTCATGTGGTGTAAATATAAACCACTTGTGCAAAGTCATTCAACAAAAACCGCTCAAATTTAACGAAAACTTTTGCGATACAAGTCCTTTCTTAACTAAAACTAGTTTATTATTTCTA